CCACTAAAATAAGATGATATTGTACAATATAATATTATGAAACTAAAGCTAAGATAATAAATAAACATTGTGCATCATCTTTCTCATTTCCTGAATACAAAGACTTCCCTACTTAATTCAAACCAAGAAGAAAACATAGAAATAAAAGAAAATACACTGAATTTATTACTAGTTTAAAAACAAATATATATAGTATTGACCTATAGCATCTAGACTTGATAGCATCACAGCTAGGTTACTAAAATAAGAATGCAAGGAGATATCACCAGTATTCAAAATACTTTTTTTAGACCTCATTAATTCAGTGAAGAGTGTTAAGTACACTAAATAGGTTAACAATGATTTCTGTGGGATTTTACAGTTTTGAGATAGTCTTTATAAAAAAATTTGATAAAAAAACAAAAAGACTTGTAAGGCCTTGTAAAGCTTAATACTCTGCATTTATTAATATCATATTTTGTAATTTAAAAAATGCGCATTTTTCAAAAAACTGTTTTAGACGATTTTTATCACAATTTTTAAATATTTTATTTTCTGCCATCACAACACCGCCTTTTGTCCACACCACTGACATTTCTTGTAGCTCAGGACCTGATAATTTGTTTACTTCCTTCAATATTTACATTCTGAAAAAGTTCATGAATATAAATGTAATCAGCTTTGTGAGCTAGAAATTTACTACTAATACTAGAACTACTATTAAATTTATTTAATAAGTAGATCTGTCATCTACGAAACTCAACTTTGAACTTTTTACCTGAATGTGTGTCTAGCCCAGCCAAACCCGGCTTAGCAAGTGACAAACTCACCTCTCACTTGTTGCATAGCGCTCAATTTTAGGTTAAAACGTCACACATAACTTTCTAACTGTTAAACATACTCATAATTTATACACCATGACCAATGGAAAGTTCTAATAAAGTATTTTAATGATGTGTACTAACGAAAATTGTTTATTCAAAGATAAATTTTTAATTTCACCTCCCTAGTTTATGAGTCTAGATCTAGATTTCTAAAATCTAGACTTGACTATACACTATCAATACTATCAGTATCATGATAGACTCTATATTACTCTTACTAGATTTTTCCAAAGCTTTTGATAAAGTTCACCACCATAGTTTGCTTAAGAAATTAAAATATTTTGGCACTGATGGTCCATTGCATCAGTGGATTAAAGATTTTTTCTGATAGGGAGAGAACAAACTGTAATAATAAATGGCTCTAAATCAACACCAATAACAGTAAACTCAGGCGTACTTCAAGGAACAGTCTTAGGTCCACTACTATTTTTAATATACTGGTACATTAATGCTTTACCAAATTGCAATAGTTCAGGAACAAAAGTCAGATTATTTGCAGACAATTGCATAATGTACAGAACAATAAAAACAACACAAGATACAGAAATTTTACAAAGAGAATTAGATGAATTAAAGAAATCCTATACTCTTAAGCGAGCAATTCTTGTATGTATGTATGTATGTATATATATTTATATATATATAAATTTTATTTCGAAAACGGCTCTAACGATTTTCTTTAAAATTTCAACGTATGTGCATATTAGTGAGAAAAAAATTCTCAACTCATTGGCCACATCGGGAAAACTTGAGGTCGACCATTATATCTGTTTGAAAATGGCTCATTATCGAAAAATTAATTTTGGCTAGAATGTTTTATGAATGAAACGTTCCATATGACGTCAATGGGAAAAAAACTTGACACCGCTTACGTCACTAGGCTCACAGCAGTACACTAAGACTTTACTTCGTAAACAAGAAAAAGTTTTAATGATTAAATTGGCATAATTAAACATTTGCGCACCAACTATTGTACATTGATCCATTATGAAACTATGGAAGAAAAATAATGAAATTAGATATCTTTATGTATGTATGTAGGCTTTATAAATTGTTTACACTTTAATTGCATACACCCGTACTTTGTTATTATTTTGCTGGTGAATTATTGCAATGTGTTTAAGCTTCAAAGTCTACTGTCCCATACCAAAACATAGGAAATGGTCATAACACAGCTTATCTATGCCTTACTTGCACAACCAGGGCCGGCCCTAACATTTGCGGGGCCCTATGTGAAATGGTTGCACGCGGATAAGTAAGGGTAGGGATAAGGATAATAAGTGAAAATAAAGATTTTGTATTAGAAAAAAAAATTCGTATTTGCATTACATATTTATTAAATGAAAGCTGACGATGCCGTTTTTTTATATCACGCGTAGGACTGGCGTTTACCATATTGATTGACACCCCAAAGTGACAATTTTGTCTTTTTAAGGACATTTTTATGAGTTTCAGATTTCCAGGAGCTCCTTGAAAACAAGGAGACCACGGGAACCTTATTATAAATTATAATGGTTTAATTTAATAATTTACACCTAGAATTAGCGCGGGGCTTTTAGAACCTTCGGGGTCCACTGCTGCTTTTTTTGGTTAACCTATAAACCTCGGTAAAACAGAAGTCATGTTCTAGAAGTCACCCAATAAAACCTACTCAGCCCAAAGATCACTGCGCATAGACATCCCTTAAAGTGGTAGATAACTTCACATTATCTGGGAAGCATAGTATCAAATGACGCATTGCTTTAAAGAGAGGTTAATATGTGATCAGGGATAGTCATGCTTTAGACACCTCCAAGTGAGAGTGTGGCGAAATAAATCACTCCACATGTCTACAAAAATCAGTGTCAACCAGTGATTCTCTCAACCCCTCTATGTGGATCAGAGACATGAGTACTTTATAGAAAGCAACTAAGACTTCTTGAATGACTTCACCGAAGACCTCAATACAAACAGCGATATTCTTGCAAAATGGTATGAACTTCTTATACTCCGACAGTCACGCTTTGCAGGGCACCTATTCCGTATGGGGGATGAACATATTTTTGGCAATCTTTTTTTTTTTAGTAAGCTGCAAGGTTGTTGGAGTAACAGAGATGCCTCACAATAACGCTTCTTTACAACACTAACGTGATGTTTTTAAGTCTCTTAGAAAAAAATGTGCGATTTTACTTTGTTACTATGTACACTATAACGTAGAGATTTTGCATCACTTGATGATTCTTACTAAAGCCATAATAATAAGGCTTGTCTTCGAGTCTGAAGATTAGTGAGGAATGCAGTGTTTCCCGTGGCTGCGCAGCCCCAGCTGTGACCTACATATTTTGCCACATCCATGGCAAGCATAACCATTGTCCGCAGGTAGTCAATTTAGATTTCTTTTCTCCGTCTGCGTTTGTCCTCGGCAGCAGATTTTCTTTTGGTCTGAAATGTGTATCCCGCGGCCTTCGTGAGTGACCTCCAGCTGTCTTGTTCGGCGGCCGCATACAACCAGCTGCTCTCTTCTATTTCAGCCAAGGAAAGTTGACGCCAAAGCTGGTCTTTGAAGCATTTCCATGGGGTGCCTCTGTTACATCGATCACCTATTAGCTCACACAAAAAAAATACTGCCTTTGGCATACGTTCGTCTCCCATACGGGATACGTGCACTACCCAGTGCAACTGTCGGACCATAAGAAATTTCTCTATACTGTCCATACCGGCGTTGGAAAGGACATCGCTGTTTGTAGTGCGGTCCTGCCACCGTATGTCCATGATGGAGCGCAAGCATCTTTGGTGAAAGCACTCAAGAAGTCTTAGTTATTTTCTGTAAAGTATCCATGTCTCAGAGCCATAATTAATATATTAATTGAATATTAAATGTCAGAAAGTAACCATTTTAGAAGTTACACTGCAAAGACTTTTTTCCAAGCCTATAATAGCCCTATAGTTTTACGCGAAAGAAGCAATGTAAAACGTTAAGACGTGAGCTGTGGTTTTCTATAGGCCTACTGTTGGGGAACTTTCAATTCTAATCGCCATGTACAATTACCTTGAGAACTGACAGAACGAAAAAGCAACTCTTCGGATTTTATAGTCTTTACCTGATCGTTCATTTTCGTAATTACAACAATATTCCCAAAATGACTTAGGGTATATATCCTTCCTTAATAAATTATCCATCCGAGCGAGGCTCGGTCACCTGATATTGGGAATCAAATTGGAGCATGTGTCTTTCCATCCAGAAAAATGTCAGTTATTAAGAGTAACAAAAAAGCTAAAACAAATTAATTCCACTTATCTTATTCATGGTAAACCAGTAACACAAACTAAAAACGCAAAATACCTAGGTGTTATAATGAATGAAAAACTGTCATGGAATCCCCATATTGATGAAACTATCATAAAATCAAACAAAGCATTCGGGTTTATTAAAAGAAATTTCTATAAATCAAATAAGAACATAAAACAAAAATGTTATTTAACCTTGGTTAGGCCAATAATAGAATATAATGCATCCTCTGTTTGGGACCCCTCAACTCAAAAAAACATTTAGAAACTGGAACAGACACAAAATAGAGCAGTGAGATTCATAACAAACGAATATTCACATTTGACTAGAGTAACACTTTTAGTTAAATCACTAAATTTAGAATGCCTTCAGGACATAAGACGCAAAAGTAAAGTAGCAATTATACATAAAACAAAAACACTGAACCATAATCTTCAAATACAAAATTTAATAAAATACTCAGAAAGACACAAAGATAAAGGCACATTCCTCATCCCATATGCTAGGACAAATTTGTACAAATACTCCTTCTTCCCTAATGTTATTAGAGTATGGAATGGGTTGCCTGAGCTAGCCAGGAAAACCAGTGACTTGGCAGAATTTAAGTCATTAGTTAATATGTATGACTGAATGCATGAGGCTTAGGATGTAATCATCTTTTATGAAGTAACGTATGTATTATATAGCTATAGATAAGAGAAGATATTATAACTAGATCTAAATAGAATATAAATCTAGATGTGTGTATAAGATTATAATTACAACAAGATCAATCTTCTCAGCCTCCAGCTCCACTTATAACTTATACTGACCTGGAGGATGGCTTGCCATCAGTATTCATGCCTTGAAATGTTGACGTTGTTGTCATTTTCAATAAATAGATCAAGAAGTGACTGAAGTGTTGATAAATAGAGGTCTATATTATATATTATTAAAATTATAAAATTATAGATCTAATTGTGAGATTTAGATTAGGTTAAGACTTTAGATTTAGATTAGAGATATAAAATTTGTACAGTCGTTGTTATGTTATAGAATATTATAGGTCTAGTCAAAGCTAGATTAGATCTCTCTGTATCTAGTAGTAGTAGTATAACTAAAGACTCCAGAGATTGAAATCTAGACGATCAAAATGTAATCTACTTGAATCAAGCTTTATCCTGTTACCGACTTCAGCAGAATTGTCTATAATAATAGATCTAGATCTAGTATAATGACTAAGTAGAACTCTATATGGATCTCAAGAAATACCAAGAAAAGCAACTAAAAAAATCCCGAGAATTAAAATCAAATAATCTAGCCTCTAAAATGTTTCCTAGCTTATTAGGAGTCCCAGCCTATTTCTGTTACTTTTATGCGAATAAAAATTTATTTCACGTGTTAATAAATATAGATCTAGAATCTATATTGTTTTTTCTAAATCTAGATCTAATATATCTACTAGATCATTAGAGCAATTACATTTTAATACTTAATAATCTTCTGGCTAAAAGAAGATAAAACTTAGAAAAAAATATAGATTACTATATAATCATAGCTTCCATTTTTTAAAAATCTTCGTATCTTATATAATACAGACGTTACTACAAAAAAAAAAAAAAAAGAAGATGATTACGTCCTACACTAATCAAGTCATTCAAGTTGTAGAATCTAATATAGATTTTAGACCTATGTCCTATGGACAGTCGTAGCCTATAGATGGACTTCTTAAGGTTGATAGTTACGCTGGGCAGGGCACCTATGCGAGACGAATGTATGCCAAAGGCAGTCTTTTTTTGTGAGCTAAAAGGTGGTCGACGTAACACAGGCGCCACACGGAAACGCTTCAAGGACCAGCTTAGGTGCCAACTTGCCTTAACTGACACAGAAGAGAGTACCTGGTTGCATGCGGCCTCATAACGAGACAGCTGTGGGTCACTCCTAAAGGCCGCGGGATACACATTTGAGACCAAAAGAAAATCCGCTGCCGAGGACAGACGCAGACGGCGAAAAGAAAATCTAAATCGGTCACCGGCTGACAATGGTTATGCTTGCCCTGGATATGGCAAAATATGTAGGTCGCAGCTGTGGCTGCGCAGCCACGGGAAATACTGCATTCCTCACTAATCTTCGGACTCGAAGACAAGCCTTATTAGTAGTAGTAGTAGTAGGGCCTATTATAAGATGTCTATAACTTTTTAAAATAAGATAGGCCTACTAAAGATATAGACCTAGATGCAGGCATCCATTTCAGTTCTAGATCTATATCTAGATTGTAGATCTTATAAAGGGCCTATTACAGACGTTACTTCAAAGAAGAAGATAATTACGTCCTATCTAGTCATGCATGTTATTCAAGTCGTTAGTTTTCCTGGCTGATTTAGGCAACTCATTTCCATTCTCTAATCGCACTAGGGAAAAAAAGCGCGTGTACGAATCTGTTTTAGCGTATGGAATTTAAAAAAGGGGCCTCTATCTTTTGTCTAGAATAAAATAGGCCTACTAGAAATAACAGTCGATGCTCTGGAAAATTAGATAAAAAAGATTGAAAAGGCTAATATTAGGCTATATTTTGACTACATTTCTGTCACAATATATTTAATATTATATAGGCCTAGGCCAGGACTCCGCCATTTGCCGGTCCCAAGCCCGGGTGAGAAAAGAGGAGGCTTTGGCGTGGGACAAGCGACACCACCCTGTAAAACCACAAATGTTACAGAAACGGCAAGCGTGACAGGCCAGGACCTATATATATATATATATACATTTCTAGTTCTATTCCTACAAGCAATGAAGAGGTGGTGATAAACTGGAAGAACGAACAATGAGAAAGAGAAAATTAAGGATTCGGGAAGCAAGAAGGTGTGAGAGGTAAACAAACAAAAATATTGTGAGCGAAATTTAAGATAAGGTCTACCAGTGTAAAGATCAATAGAAGAGTTCAGGGTAAAGAGGTAGCCTAGATTTCCCAGTGAGTGGGGGATATATATGATAGGAAAAAAAGAAGATGGGAAGCAAGGCCTGGAAGGAATGGATGGGAGAGAGAAAATGGTAAAGAAAAAAAGTAAAAGAGAGTGTAAGAGAACAGTAGATAGGAGAGAAAGAGTAGGGGAATTAAAAGGTGTGTCGAATGAATGGAGAGGAATAGAAAGAAGAGAGAACTGAGCGGCGTGTGGCTAGAGAAGAGAAATTAGCATAGGCCTAAATAAAGTGTTGAAACGATGTTTATGTGAGAGTTGGAAAGAGAAGTTGAAGAGCGATGGAAAAGAAATCAATGAAAGATGTGAGGGAAAAGGATAGAGGAGAAGGGTTGGAGAGAAGTGCAACGAAAGAAAAGGGGAGCGGAAAATAATCTTGAAGAGAGATATTCCAAGGATAATTGTGGAAAGAAGCGAAAGAGCAGGAAGGATGCATATTTGGGGAATAAAAAAGAGCGGAAAGAAACATTAGAACAGCTCACTGTATGACAATATTTAGCCTAATGTCATTGTAAATGTAAGAGAGAAAAAAAGAAGTTAGTGAACGTTTTTATCGATTTCCCCTAATTTATTTAGACGTTTAAACCTACATTGCAAAGTCTATTTCTTTATCCTTAGGCCTACGCCGTATAATTGAAGTCCATTTTTATCTAAGTATCAATTGGTTTTATTAATTTAATATGTTGTCTAGATCAATTCTATTTTATAGATCTAGTATTCAGACACTCATAACTGTGTTGCCGATATGCGGCAAAGACAGACAAAGAAAAAAAAAAAGCTTACTGGAATCACAAATAATCTGATCACGTGACTAAGCGTAGCGTTTGATCGACAAGAAGAGTTTCCACAGTCGACACCACAACCTAACCTTCGTAAAACAAATGATTGTCATATTGATTTGAAACTCCCAGCGCAAGTTCACGTTGAAATGAATGATACTTACTGGGGGGTTAGGTAGATCTATCGTAGCTGTTTCTAGACTCTGTTGTAAGCCACCTGAACTTTGAACTATCTGAAAGCATAAGTACTTTGCATTTTATCATCTCTAATAACAAAATCATTTATATAAGAAATGAAATAACGTCTGCTATAAGAATAAATAAAGTACTTATTCTCGGGGGGATATCTCTAATTGATAAACATTTTATTAAGTAGCCCTACATTGATTTGTATTACGTGAATCTGATTAAGTTAAAAAAACTTAATTCGTAATTTAATCAGTAATAAACCTAAATATATAGCCCTAATGTTGATGTGCTTTTTTTTTAAATAACAATATTCGTTGGCAATCCATTCTCGCTTTTCGAAAAACTTTAAAAAAAATTGGTGTGAGATGTCTGCCTACTTATTAGCACCCTTTTGTCTTCACGATATTTTGTTTTTACTGTTTTGAGTTAAACTTACATATTTTTTTTTAAAAGCCAGTTTTTCATACACACATAGGCCTAAATAAATAGTCTCTTTCCCTTGGATAATGTCCGTTTAGATTTGAAGCCATCGCTAGAGCCCATTGACACATAAAACACTGAACCATAATCTTGAAATACAAACACAAAATTTAATAAAATACTCAGAAAAACAGAAAGATAAAGGCACATTCCTCATCCCATATGCTAGGACAAATGTGTACAAATACTTCTTCTTCCCTAGTGCTATTAGAGCATGGAATGGGTTGCCTGAACATGACGCGTAGGACGTAATCATCTTCTTTTTTGAAGTAACGTCTGTATTATATAAGATAAGATAAGACACTCTTGGGCACCGCTTCTGCCTGAGGGTTCCACTTTGTACCAAAGTATTCTGGGAATGTATTATACCATTTTATATAGGTATCGTCCCTAATATAGGTTTGCTTGCTCTTCTAGTTAGCCCACGTAGGGTGCCATATTGAAATTGATAGAGCCGGAATACTTTGGGGTCGCTTAGCCATATTGAAGAGTTCAAGAGTGTAAAGATTCGCCAATCGAAATGCCCCCCCTTCCCCCCACCTGAAAAAAATCTTCATCCACAACTGTTTCTGTCTCCTCGCCATAAAACTCTAGACGAATGAGAAGAGTAGGCTTAGCCTTGCTAAAAATTCATCTTAAGCTGGCTCTAGCGAGGAAAGGGCATAACTTGTGAGGCTTCTTTTTTATATATCGGTTCACTATGGACACATCACTGCGGTTCCATTTTGTTTCCCTAATTTAGCTTTTATTTCATCATCCAGGATGTTCCATTTAAGGCAGATATACGCGACTGAGAGCAGCTGCACCTGCGCACCCCCCCCCCCCCCTTCAGCTGCTCCACTTGCTTGTGCGTTTATCGTCACTCCTCTTCAATTTCCCAGATAGCTCATTGCAGTGACACGATGTTCATGTAAGATTTCTATTATTGACATTTTAATATTCCGTCCTCACAATGCCAAGTCCGTACATTCAAGAAAGTTTCGTCTAGTTAAAGTCAGTGGATGTATATCTACATCTAAATCGAGAGGGAAAAAAAACGATACAATATTTTATGACGTGAAACAAAATAGTTTGTGTTATATATTACAAGAAGAGACTCAGTTCTACAGGATTCTAGAACTACTGGGAATACGTTGCTTTAACGAAACGAGACACAATTGAAATCATTTAAATGGGAGTCAAGTGTAAAGGTATTTTTAAAAATTATCTATCTATCTATCTATCTATCTATCTATCTATCTATCTATCTATCTATCTATCTATCTATCTATCTATCTATCTATCTGTCTGTCTGTCTGTCTGTCTCTCTCTCTGTCTGTCTGTCTGTCTCTCTGTCTGTCTGTCAGTTAATCAATAGTTATATCCATCTATCAATCTATCTTTCTATTTATCTATCCACCATCCATCCATCCATTGATACATAGTATGTTTGTCTATCTATGTATCAATCTTTCTTTCTGTCTGTCTTTCTATCCGTCATAAAATCCATCCATACAACTATCATCCATTGATACATAGTCTGCCTGTTTATCTAAGTATATGTCTGGCTTTCTGTTTGTCGATCCGTCAAACAATTAAAACAATCAATCAATCAATCAATCTGTCTATCTATCTATCTATCTATCCATCTATCTGTCTGTCTATTTGTCTGTCTGTCAGTTAATCAATAATTCTATCAATCTATCTTTCTATCTATTTATCCACCATCCATCCATCCATTGATACATAGTATGTTTGTCTATCTATGTATATGTCTGTCTTTC